CCTTTCCTGAATTCTAAAATTCTCCCAATCCTCAATCTTATAATCTTTTTCAGCAGCTTTATAAGCTTCATCCTTTGATCTAATATAGCCTTATTGAGTTTCCCAGTGGGTAATTTTGCCTTATAGGAGTGCATGTTTTTGAAATACTAGCCATTGCCTCTCCACCATCAAACTTTTTAATGTACTTTTTACAATCTGTCACAGCCAACTTTGTCTTCATACCTTCATAATTGCCCTGGTTTAGATTTAAGACTTTAGTCTCAGATTGAACTGTATCCTTTCCAAACTTAAATGGAATCTTCTAACATACTATGGTCACTATTGTCTAAGGGTTCTTTTACTCCAAAATTATTCGTTATCCCTTTCTTGTTACATTACACTAAATCTAAAATAGCTTTTGTGCCCCGCCCTAGTTGGTTCCTCAATTTATTGTTTCAGAACACTATTTCAGACACATTCCAGGAATTATTCCTTCACACCATTGGTGCTCATTAGATTTACCCAGTCTATATATCGATTGAAATTACCCATGATTACTGTGGTCATCTTGCTACATACATTTCTAATTTCCTGATTTATACTGGGCCCTAAATTACTACTATTGAGCGGTAATAAACAACTCCTATTAATGTTTAAAGTAAACAAAGAACTATGAATGCTGAAGATCTGAAGAGATCTGCTGAAGATGTGGAAAGAAAGCAGAGTTAACGTTTCGAGTCCAGGAACCCTTCTTCAGAAGCTTCTCCAGCAATTTTTGTTTCTGCTTCCCATTAATATTTGCAGTCTCTTGCTGTTTCTTAGCTCCACCCGAATATATCCTATATCCTGTTCTTCCAATCAGAGATCATCTCTCACTGATTGTCAACACTACTGCACCTCTGTTTCCTTTTCATCTATCCTTCCAAAACATCCAATATCCTTTAATTTTCAAATCCCGGTCTTGTCCACCCTGGAGCTATTTCCCTGCAATGGCAGTTAAATCGTACCCATTTATTTCTACTAGCACCATCAATTCACCTATCTTTTTGCAAATGCTGAGTGCATTCAGATACAGTGCCTTTAATTAGATGAGTCTGAAGCACTTGCATCCATCTTCAGACAGAAGTGCCGAGTGGATGATCCATCTTATCCTGCTCCAGAGGTCCCCAGCGTCACAAACGCTAGACCTCAGCCAATTTGATTCACTCCACTTGATAACAGAAAACGCTGAAGGTACTGGATACTACAAAGGTTGTGGGGAATGACATGTCCTTCACACAAAAATCAGAATGCGTGAATGGGTGAATGAGTGAATGGATCATCCACTCGGCACTTCTGTTGATAATAGTAAGGAAGACGTACTAGGAATTTTGAGGAACTTGAAGATAGATAAGTCCCCCAGGCCTGATGGGATTTATCCAAGAAATCTATGGGAAGCGAGGGAAGAGATTGCAGGGCCTTTGGCGATGATCCTTTCGTCCTCGCTGTCCACGGGTATATTGCCAGAAGATTCGAGAGAGGCAAACATTATTCCCATGTTCAAAAAAGGGAATAGGGAAAACCCCGGAAATTACAGGCTAGTTAGTCTTACGTCAGTGGTGGGCAAATTACTGGAAAGGGCTCTGAGAGACAGGATTTATGATCACTTGGAAAGGCACAGTTTGATTCGTGATAGTCAGCATTGATCTGTGAGGGTTAGATCATGCCTCACAAACCTTATTTTTTGAAGAGGTGACCAAACACGTGGATGAAGGTAGAGCAGTGGATGTGGTATACATGGATTTAAGTAAGGAGTTTGACAAGGTTCCCCATGGTAGGCTCATGCAGAAGGTAAGGAGGCATGGGATAGGGGGAAATGTGGCAGATTGGATTCAGAATTGGCTGACCCTTAGAAGACAAAGGGTGGTAGTGGACGGAAAATATTCAACATGGTGCTCAGTTACGAGTGGTGTACCACAAGGATCTGTTCTGGGTCCTCTTCTATTTGTGATTTTTGTAAATGATTTGGATGAAGGAGTGGAAGGGTGGATTAGCAAGTTCGCGGACGATACGAAGGTGGGTCGAGTTGTGGATAGTGCGGAGGGCTGTTCTAGGTTACAAAGGGACATTGATAGGATGCAGAGCTGGGCTGAGAAGTGGCAGATGGAGTTTAACCCTGAAAAGTGTGAGGTGATTCATTTTGGAAGGAAAGCAGAATACAGGGTTAACGGAAAGATTCTTGGCAGTGTGGAGGAGAAGAGGGATCTTGGGGTTCATGTCCATAGTTCCCTGAAAGCTGCCACCCAGGCGGATAGAGTTGTTAAGAAGGCATATGGTGTGTTAGCTTTCATTAATAGAGCGATTGAGTTCAAGAGCCGTGAAGTTATGCTCCAGCTATACAAAAGCCTGGTTCGGCCACATCTGGAGTATTGTGTTCAGTTCTGGTCGCCTCATTACAGGAAAGATGTGGAAGCGTTGGAAAAGGTGCAGAGGAGATTTACCAGGATGTTGCCTGGAATGGAGGGAAGGTCTTACGAGGCAAGGTTGAGAGAGCTAGGGCTTTTCTGTTCAGAACAATGAAGGATGAGAGGTGACTTGATAGAGGTGTACAAAATGATTAGAGGTACAGATAGAGTGGACAGCCAGAGACTTTTTCCTAGGGTGGAGGTAGCTATTATGAGGGGGAATAGTTTTAAAGTGAGTGGAGGTAGATATAGGGAGACGTCAGAGGTAGGTTCTTTACTCAGAGAGTGGTCGGGCCGTGGAATGCATTGCCGGAGAGGGTAGTGGAGTCGGCCTCATTAGGAGCATTTAAGCGGCTATTAGATAGGCATATGGATGATAGTATAACGTAGGGGTGGAGGTTAGATAGACCTTAGGATTAGGATAAAAGTTTGGCACAACATTGTGGGCCAAAGGGCCTGTACTGTGCTGTAATGTTCTATGTTCTAGCCAGTTACTGCTCTATTCTATCAGTCTACTCTCCATCATCAATAAAATAATGGAAGTACAATCCACCAGAATTTGCAAACAAATAACCTGCTCGCTAACACTTAGTTTCAGTTCCACTAGGGTCATTGGGCTCCTGATCTCATTACAGCCGTGGCTCCAACAAGGATAAAAGAGCTTAACTCCAGGAGTGTGGTGAGGGTGACTGCTTTGAACTCATCGAAGCATTTGACCGAACATGGCTTTAAGGACCCATAGCAATACAGGAGTCAATGGGAATTGAGGGAAGACTCTTCACTGGTTGGAATCATTTTTAGCCTAAAGGAAGGTGACTGTGGTTGTTGGATGTTAATCATTTCAGCTCCAGGGCATCTCTGCAGGAGTTCCTCAGTGTACCTTCAGCTGCTTCATCAATTACCTTGTTTCCATAATAGATCAGAAGTGGGGATATTTGTAGATGATTACACAATGTTCAGCATCATTCATGACTCTTCAGATAATGAAAGTCTTTCTCCATATCAGCAAGATCTGGCAATATACAGGGTTGGGTTGACAAGTGGCAGGTAAGGTTTAAGAAACACAAGTGCCATGAAATGACCATCTCCAAATGTACAGAATCTAACCATCTCCCCTTGAAGTTCAATGGCAGTATGAATTCTAAATTCTCCACAGTCAACATCCTGGAAGTTACCATTAACTAGAAATTGAAATGGACCAGCCATATAAATGTTATAGTTACAAGATTAGGTCAGAGGCTAGGAAGTCTGTGGTAAATAACTCACTGCCAGACTCTCCAGATTCTGGTCCAATATCTTCAAGACATGAGTCAGGAGTTTGACTGAATGTTCCCCATTTGGTCGCACATTCCCTCTATGCAGTCTTAATCTATGACTAATTTGTCAAATGCAATTTCTGTGAAGTTCTCAGCTCTGCAAGTGCACCACAGTGACTCTAGCTGCTGCTCAAGTTCAAAAACCCAGACTCATGTTTTTGTAGCTGGAAACACGTCCCTTATCTGGACTGTATGGAGCGTCCACAACTCCCCAACTGGCACAGGATGGGCATTCTACATAGCTGATTTGTCCTGCGATGCCTCAAGTTCTTTTAGATTATTAAGAAAATAATCTATAAATTACATTCTCATATAAACACTATTCAGAAGTGTTTAATTATCTGCTGGTAGTAGTATTGATTATTCAGGAGAGAACTTCTGAGCGATGAATCCAACCCATCTCCCTGGACTATGCCTGTATCCCTGTTCCTTCTCGGTGTTGGATCAATACTGCTCCATTGACCAATCCCACTACCCACATTCGCTCCCTCTTGGTAACAGATCAGTCTAGCCCCTCAACACCCTCTGGTCTCTCTGGGCAATGGATCATCTGCATTACACCTCTCCTCCCATGCCCTTGGGTAATGGATCATGGCTGGCTGTAAAACAATGGCAGGTTACATGTTAGGTTTTGTCCCTCTAACCACATGCCTTTGCTATTGAATGTTGATCTGGGATAGCACACAGGAACATGCTCGTCCCTCTACTGAGTGTCATATTTCATAACAGGAAACGGTTGTGCAACAGAGCGAGAGAGAAATGATGTGTGAGCCACAGGTCTTTTGGGAATTTTGTTCACGACAGGGTACAACTTTAGGAAGTTAAATGAAGTGTCAGGATGAATAAAGAAAAGCACCACAACTTTAAGAAACTATAGACCTTAATTATCTTGAAATGCCACTTCCCATCCAGCCTACCTTCACTCCAACTTACAAAGTGAATAAAAGCTGATAAATAGCCCATTTGAGGAGAAAGAACTGAGAATGGGAAAGTTAAAAAATAACCACTTGTTCTATGTGGCACAGAAAGACACAACTACAATGGGTGAAACCTCTATGTGACTACTGGGTCCTGGTCTCTTTACCTGGTCACATGCATTCACCAGCATCTGCAGTTCCTACTATCTCTGATTCAATCATTACCCCTCCAACCCACTTTCCACATATACTCCCTCATCCTCTGTCCATCTTAATTCTCAGACTCGTGATCGGCTCATACACAGCACCCAGTGCACACCCACACAATATGTAATATACTTTACCTCCAAACCATTGGTACACGATGTTGCATAGTTGTGATCTGAAATCATTGTTGTGAAACTGCATCCAAGACTGGGGAAAAGTGCAGCAGAAGCTGACATACACAGCCTGACTGAGAGTGCTGGGCAGTTCCTGAGGGCAATGAGATGAAAAATGAGAAATAACAGCAAGAACGTTAAGAACTTAGAAACCACTTAAGCCACCTGACATTTGCCTCAGGCAACAAGGCCACCAGGATGTGTTTAACAAAGAGAAGGATGATACAATGACAGGTCCAGACTTAGACCTGCACTTTTCTCTTTTGGTCATTTTTCAGTCTGTAGCATTGGTCACTGACATTCTCTCTCAGCAGCCAGTTTTAAACACAATGGATGGACAGTTCACACACAGAGCAGGTTAAGCGGTTCTCAGATAGACTGTGGATAAAACCTTCAAATTAATTCAGTTCCAGGGACGGCACATAACTATTTGATGACTTGGGGCAGGAGGACAATCCTTTGACTGTTTGTTCATGATACTGGACAGCTCTAACCATTGGAAAGATCCTTGCACTGAAGGGTTTCAAAAGAAGAGTAGGGCCCTGTTTGATTTCTTATCTGCGAGGAACCACATATTTATCCTATTGGATTATTTAGCTATTTATCTAAAATACTAGTTGAAATGTGCAAATTGAAAATCTAGTGAAATTATGCAGTACATTTTCAGCTGTACAAGACTATGTGCTTTTGGAGCAGTGAGGTTGTTACACTGTTGAGGCACAATGGTATCAGGATTCTTTGAGTTAAGGAAAAACGGCATGACAACAGTCTTTGGACTGATCCAGATCCAGTTTGTTATAGTCCTTTGAGGGTAGTGCAGCCAGAAACATTAAGAACATTAAGAACATTAAGAAACAGCAAACATCTTGCTCTCCCTTCTCTTTGTCTGAGTGACAAGCCAAAAAAAAAACTAGAGACATAAAAGAAGAAATTCTAATATGAGAAATGAACTTGGTCCATTCAATCAGCTATCAAATCAAAGAATGACCATTGTTCTCTTCACAACATTACATATCATTGCTAAAATCTAAAGAATTGAGAGAAATACCTCTTCACTTTGTAATGTAGACTTTTGATCTGTAGAAATCTTTTACTCAGTCTATATTTTCTCCAGCCATTATATCTGTATCAAACATCTGTCTTTTGTCATTTTGTGAATGAATGTGGGTGTGATAAACTGGTACAGTTTAAGTCACATAGTAGTGTGTTAGTGACCTTTTTGTCTTTGCATTTGTTAAAGAATATGTTTATTTACAGTAAATAGTTATTTTCCTATTAATGATGAAATCTGAAATGACTTGCTTTTGTTCTGACTAGTAGTCAATTGATCACATTGGTGACCTAATTGGGTAGCCACACAGTTGTGAAACCGTGGGGTTCGATTATTGGCACACTTGTCCCAACTTATTCCCAACAGGTCACCTCTCTCTATGTGGCCAGAAAAAGTGTGCGTAATTAATTCAGCAATTTGCCTGTAGCTGAAGTATAGCTAATGGTCCAGGCTTTTTTGAGATTTGTGTTGATCTATTTGAAAATTGGCTCACACCAGCCTCCTTGCAGTCCCTGGTAGAAACCCTGATCTCAGTGAGCTGTCACAATACTAAGCAATCACAGTCCCATTCCTTTCAGCATCCTCAAAAGAATGCTGTCAGGAGCTACATGTTGATTTGTTTTGAGTTCCTTCACATTGACAGTTAAAATGTCAGTCTTCACTGAGTGATGCATTACCTGTGACCAGATATCATTTATTGGAGTTAAGGCTGACACAAAGCGGTCATATAAGACCTTTACCATATACCAGGGATTTACCAGCGTGTGCCCTGAGCAATTCTTCAACCTTCCTGATTACACGTCCTCTGACAAAACTGAATAATTCCACTGTTGCTGTTGCAGTTTTCCACTATTGCTTTTAGCTGCTCCAGTTGCAGCTTTTCCTGAGCTTCAGAGAGGTCAGTCCCTATTCTACTTCTCCTGAGAACTAGTTTCTTTTACACTCTGGAAGGTACTTTTGTCTACGTCAGGGTCATTCGGATTTGATTAGATTACTATTTTAGCTTTGTCCAGGCACATGCTGCTTCATCCTGCTCTGATAAGGTCCCATGTATGTGCTCATTAGAGGGCACTGCAAGACCACACACCCAACAGACACAGGACATGAGCTCCTGGGTAAAACACACAGAGTCTGAATCTGATCAGCTCATGGGCAGCCAAAAGAAGATGGGCAACAAATTTTCATGTTAAAGGCCATAATGAAGGCCAGACAGCATTTGTAGGCAGCACAGAAACCACCTCCTTTGCCCTTGTTGCTTGAAGATGTCGTCAGCTGCATGGAACTGGCCTCCCTGTGGTAGTTTAGGGGGTTGCTGGAGTAACGATTCTGCATTCAATGCCTTTTGAGGAAGGGAATTCCAGAGATTCATCACTTTCACAGAAAGATTGTTTCCTCATCTCTGTTTTACACAGGTGCACCCTTATGTTTAAACTATAGTGCATAGGCCTGGACTGGGATTGGCCCTGCACGATTGGTCTGATGTGTGTCTGTCTGTCTCTGGACAGTCAGGCTACAATCAGTGTGTGAGATGGTTCTGGACAGTCAGACTGGGATTGGTGTATACGATATGTCTACACAGTGAGACTGGGATTGGTGTATACGATATGTCTACACAGTCAGACTGGGATTGGTGTCTGCGATATGTCTACACAGTCAGACTGGGATTGGTGTCTGCGATATGTCTACACAGTGGAGCCTGGGATTGGTGTATACGATATGTCTACACAGTCAGACTGGGATTGGTGTGTGCGATATGTCTACACAGTCAGACTGGGATTGGTGTATACGATATGTCTACACAGTCAGACTAGGATTGGTGTGTGCGATATGTCTACACAGTCAGACTAGGATTGGTGTGTGCGAATATGTCTACACAGTCAGATGAGGATTGGTGTGTGCGATATGTGTAGACAATCAGACTGGGATTGGCGTGTGTGATATGTCTAGACAGTTAGATTAGGATTGGTGTGTGCAATGAGCTGTTACAGTCAGGGTGTGCCAGCAGGCAATGGAGATGATTCCATGCGAGATCTGGAGCTGTTCCTTACACAAAGGAGATGGATGGTCAGGATGGAGGGAGACTGTTTAAAATTAATGTACTGATTAAGAATCAGAAATGATTCCAGGAAACCAAGGAGAAATGAATCTGGGTGTTTGATGGGTGCAAATTGGATAACCATGGCAGACTATGTGCATGATACAGTGTTTGTGACTACTGTAGACAGGAGGTGGCAGCAGGAACCTGTTACGCCTGGTGATATTGATATCAGTCACTTATTGTGCAAATGCCTAATGCATGTGACCCATTAAGAAACTGCATGTCAAATTAGTTCTAATCACTAACCTGAAGAAATCGGTCTCCATAGTAATAGTTCTGACAGTCCATGATCAGCTGAACATAATTTTTTGATATACGATCAAACAGTTGACACTGCACACTGTAATCAGTCTGGAAACAAAATCACATGTTGAAGAGCACTTCCATAAACATTAACAACCTGGCTCACATATATCCTGACTGTTACTCACTATTCTTAGTGAGAAACCCTGACTGTTACTAGCTATTCTCAGTGAGACACCCTGAGTGTCACTCACTATTCTCTGTGAGAGACCCTGACTGTCACTCACTATTCTCAGTGAGACCCTGACTGTCACTTGCTATTCTCAGTGAGAAACTGACTGTCACTCACTATTCTCAGTGAGAAACTGACTGTTCCTCACTATTCTCAGTGAGAGACCCTGACTGTCATTCACTATTCTCAGTGAGACCCTGACTGTCACTCACTATTCTCAGTGAGAAACTGACTGTTCCTCACTATTCTCAGTGAGAGACCCTGACTGTCGTTCACTATTCTCAGCGAGAGACCCTGACTGTTCCTCACTATTCTCAGTGAGAAACCCTGACTGTTACTTACTATTCTCAGTGAGAGACCCCAACTATTACTTATTCTTCTCAGTGAGAGAACCTGACTGTTACTTAATATTCTCAGTGACAGACCCTGATTATTACTCACTTTTGTCAGTGATAGACTTGACAGTTCACAGTGAGAGACTCTAACTGTTACTCACTTTTCTCAATGAGAGACACTGACTTGTGATCACTATTCTCTATGTAGTCAGGCCTCCTGCTGCATGGTTGTTGAACAGCACTGTGCTCACCTCTCCTGCACCTTTGTACAGCAGCAAGGCTGCCATTTGATAGAGGTGATGCTGCCAAATCCATTCTTAAGGAGAGTGGGAGTCAATTTGGCCTCTTTTTCCCTAAAGCTAAAGTATGAGTATGGTAGTGTTATTGTGATCCAAATAGCTTTCTTCAGGGCCTCAAGGATGCTGACATAGTCAGCACCGAGAAGCAGAAAGGATCCACCGACTGATGAATACATCTCTCAGTTACAGAAAAGCTGAAGAAAGACACCAGAGGTTTGGCTGCAGGCACAAACAGTCAATTCTATTCGGGGAAACTTCAATCTGTTCAGAATGTAAGCCTTGAGCAGATTTACAGAGGCAGTAATGAGACAGTTTCTGTGTGCAGATAACTTTGCAGTGCCTACAACAAGATGTTTACATGGTGGCAAACAAATTCTCGCGTTCTACTAAAACCATCGGTCTATAACTCAGCATCTTGAAGACCGAGGTTATGTTTCAGCCTGCACCAGGCACAGAATATGAGACACCAGACAAAACCATAGATGACACCATTTTCAAAGCTGAAGAAAAGTTCAGGTTCATTCATGGAATGTGGGCATTGCAGGCTTTTTCAACATTCATTGTCCATCTCTAATTCTTTATTCATTTATTCATTCACAGGACGAGGCCATCGCTGACCAGGCAGCATTTATTGTCCATCCCTAATTGCCCAGAGGGCAGTTAAGAGTCAACCACATTGCTGTGGGTCTGGAGTCACATATAGGCCAAGTCAGGTAAGGATGGCTGTTTCCTTCCCTAAAGGACATTAGTGAACCACATGGATTTTTTCCGACAATCGACAATGGGTTCATGGTCATCATTAGATTCTTATTTCCAGATACTTTATTGAATTCAACTTCCACCATCTACTGTGGTGGGATTCGAACCTGGGTCCCCAGAATGTTATCTGGATCTCTGGATTAACAGTCCAGCGATAAGACCACTGGGCCATTGCCTCCCATTTTTTCCAACCACATTACTATGGGTTTAGAGTCACCTGTACACCTGATTAGGTAAGGATGGAGATTTCATTAGTGAATCAGATGGGTTTTTAAGACCATTAATATGATCAGCATTATGCTAGCTTTTAATTCCTGATTTTTAATTAATTTACATTCACCATCTGCTATGTTGGGATTCAAACCTATATCTCCCATTTTCTTTGTCTAAACTTCTGAGATACTAGTTCAGTGACATTACCACTATGCCTACCACGTCCCCTTAGGATATTGGTAAAGATATCTACACACAGAGTCAGGAAGCAAGTTCTGCCTATGGCTGACACTAGGACTGTGTCTGAAAGCAGAAGGACATCAAGCTGAAGGCTATGAACAAACTCCTACCAGGCCAAAGTCCTTCCCACTCTGCTGTTTGACACAGAATCCTGGGTCTGCTGCAGGACTGCATCCGAAACACTTCCACTAAAGACACCTACGATCCATCATGAGAGTCTGATGGCAGAATGAAACCACAAACTACGAGGTCCTCCATTGTACTGGGCTCAACAGCATGGAGGAACCCCTTCAAAAAATTTGACTTGACAGCAGAGTATGTCTCCCACATGGGTGAGTACACAATTCTCAAGAGGGATCTAGGATCTGTGGGGAACTGTCTCCGGACAAAAATATCAAGGTTGCCATTTATTGGGGGGAAAGACCTTTACAAACTTCTGTATGGTAGAATACTGCAGTTGAGCAGCCCACATGAGGGAGGCACTGAAATCTGGGTCACAGTTCGAGGGTCATCTACGTCAAATTTGCAACGTCCAACACGCCCAGAGATTCCACTGCTGCAGAAGCTTCCCCTGAAGCACCAATAATGCTAACATGAGCTGTCAGTTCTGTGGCCATCCATGCCACCTTGGACCCTTCAACAACACGACTCACAGGAGACAGCGACAGCTTCTACAGCGTGCACACACTTGAGCAAAGAGGAGTCTACCATGAAAGAATCCAGATAATGGGAGTTCAAATCTCACTGTAGTTTAAGAAGTTGAATTCAAGGTTTAAAACAAAATTCTGTTTTGATACAATTGACCATGAATCTGCTGAATTCTCATAAAAATACAACAGATTCACTCATTTCCCTTCTGATTATTTAAAACTGCGACAAGGAGGAAGGTCTTCATTCACAGGGTGGTGGATCTTTGGATTCTCTCCCTCCAAGAGCTGTGGGGACTCAGTCATTGTCTATGTTCCACACCAAGATCCATAGATTTTGACCAGTCAAGAGAAATGGGGAGTGTGGGAAAATCAAGCTGAGGTAGAAGGTATTGAATGCAGCAGCAGGCTCGAGAGGCCTAATGGCCTGTTCCTGCTCCTGTGATTGGCAGACAATTAAGCTGGGACTTTGTTCACTGGAGCACAGGAAGTTTACAGGTGACCTTATAGAGTTTATAAAATCATGAGGGTATAGATAGGATTAATGGTAGGTGTTTTTTTCCCTAGGATGGGGGAATTTCAAGATGAGGGGGCACATTTTTAGGGTGAGAGAAGAAAAATTTAAAAAAGACATGAGGGGCAATTTTTTTTTTTTTACAGAGAATGGTTCGTGTGTGGAACAAACTTCCTGAGGAAGTGGTCGATATAGGCACAGTTACAGTGTTTAAACATATTTAAATAAGTACATGAATAGGAAAAGTTTGGAGAGATATGAGCTAACAGCAGACAGGGGACTGGTTACATTTGGGATAATGTTCGGCATGAACTGGTTGGGCTGAAGGGTCCAATTCTGTGCTGTGTCTCTCCATGACTGTATTGCTCAGAGGCCTGAGTGTTGGTCTGTTGTTCACAGGCTGACATTGTGATTGCTGTACATATCCACCCAGCCACCAGGGAAGGTACACACCTACAAATACAAATAGTCTTTGAAAGCTGTAAATAGTTCACAGGCTGACACTGTAATCATCAATTCCTGCTAACACAACCCTCACCTGGTAGAGGAGCAGAAAAATCCACCAAAAGGTATCCAGGAGGAGGTTCTGCACCAGAGTGGAGTGGAGTAACTGCTGGAACACAGTTAAGTAACCAGACTGCAATCAAGAGAAACGAGGCACCATTAGTCTGTTACATTTAGCCAGAGAGGAAGAGCACAAACATTTATTGAATGAGTGAAAAGAGCTGTAATATAGGAAAGGAGCAATCTTACTTGAAACCAAGGCTGTGACATTAAATGGGCAGTAGGATGCATTCCAATCCCCACCCTATCAGTGTTTTGCTCTCTCACCCACACCACAAACCATCCCAGCCCAGGCCCCCTCAGTCTCTATCTCTCACCCATGCACACACACAATCCCAGCCCCGAAAGCTCACATTCTCTCCTCCAGACAGCTCACACTCACTCTCCCCCAGGCAGCTCACACTCACTGTCCCCAGGCAGCTCACACTCACTCTCCCCCAGGCAGCTCACACTCACT